GGGAAAGGGAATGGGGCTGCAGAGAAGGCCTAGTATACTGTGATAGGGACTCTTGAAATAAGCTGAACTGTGAGTTAGCCCCAAGGAAGGGAGAGCCGGCTGGCTGTGGGTGTTTCCTTTAAGAGCCACAGCGTAGGAGGAGCGCCTTCCTCTGGTGGCCACTAGGTGGTGGCATTGGGCTAGACAGGCTTAGTGATCATTCAGATTGATTCACTTACACAGGTTTCTTAACAAATTAGGTATTTATAAATCAGAACTGTTTTCTTTTTTTTCCAACTGCAGCTTGCATTTTTTGAGTTAGAGGTCTAAATCCCTTTTTTAGAGACAGAGTCTCACTTTATTGCCCTTGGTAGAGTGTCGTAGCATCACAGCTCACACCAACCTCCAACTCCTGGGCTTAGGTGATTCTCCTGCCTCAGCCTCCCAAGTAGCTAGGGCTACAAGTGCCTGCCACAATGCCCAGATATTTTTTGTTGCAGTTTGGCCAGGGCCGGGTTTGAAGTTGCCACCCTTGGTATATGGGGCCAGTGCCCTACCCACTGAGCCACAGGCACCACCCTAAATCCCTTATTTTTAAAAACAAGAGTATTAAATATTCTGCACTTCCTTTTAAAATTCTGACAGTGGACCAGCACGGTGGCTCACACCTGTAATCCTAGCCCTCCCTCTAGGAGGCAGAAATGGGTGAATTGCCTGAGCTCAGGAGTTCAAGACTAGACTGAGAAAAGTGCTACCCTGTCTCTACTAAAAACAGAAAAAACTAGCAAGCGTTATGGTGGGCACTTGTAGTCCCAGCTACTGGGGAGTCTGAGGCAAGAGGAGCCCTTGAGCCTAAGAGTTTGAGGTTGCTGTGAGCTATGATATCACAGCGCTCAACCCAGGGCAACAGAGTGAGGCTCTGTTTCAAAAAATAAAAAACAAGGGCAGTGCTCGTTGCTCAGTGGGTAGGGCACCGGCTACATACACCAAGGCTGGTGGGTTCAAACCCAGTCCAGGCCAGGTAAACAACGACACCTGCAACAAAGAAGTAGCCGGGCATTGTGGCAGGTACCTCTAGTTCCAGCTACTTGGGAGGCTGAGGCAGGAGAATCACTTATACCCAAGCGTTTGAGTTTGCCGTGAGCTGTGACATCACAGCACACTACCCAGAGCCACAGCTTGAGACTCTGTCTAGAAAAAAAAAATTATGACAGTGCCCTCTTCATTTGTGTGTGCTCCTCTCCCATCTTAGCGCTTGTGGTTCATCAGTTTGTGAAAGAACAGAGTTCCCCAGATCAGCATGTAGACAGACCCTTGGGAAATAAGGCAGTGGCTTAACCTCTTCCCTGTGTTGGGCTCCAGGGCAGCCTGGGAGGGGCAGGAGTAAAAGCCCTGTTACCCGACCCTCCCCAGGAGGGCTCTGACAGTTTGTGCCAGCATGCTCCTGCTGCGTCACAGAGCTATGATAACCACTACTTGTTAACTCTAGTGAGCTGTCATTAAATGAATAAAATTAATACAAATTTAAGAAGTGGAACGTATTAATATCTGCAAGGTATTTGAAATCTGGATTTCCCTACAAAATCTGGCATCTGTATCAGCACCTGATACCCTTAGACGTGTAACCTAAATAAAATGCCTTTTATTGAGCACCTGGTATGTGTCCCACGGTGTGCGAGACACTTTCCATCTGGCAGCTCTAATTCTCAAAGTATTTATTGGGCCCCTTCTGTTTGCAAAGTGAGATGTTGCCTGTTTCTATAATAATAAATTTTCCAAGTATAATCTTTGGTTTAAAACTGTATTCACAGTAGGACTTCTATTGCTATGGTACAAAACATCCTAAAGCCGTAACTGATTTTAAGAACTATACAAAGAGCAGACTTGGCTTCCTTAACAGTGAACTGCATCAGCTGCAGCTGTAAGCATTTGTGGTCAGAGAGGCCAGTGTGTTTCTGGTTGGGTTGTGGCTTTGTTTAGAGTTAAGAGGCTTATAAAGGAAGCCATAGAAACCCCGTCTTCCCCGATTGCTGTGGTACAGGAAGCAGGGCTGTTAGTCAGCAGCCATTGTCCCGACCAGATTGTTTAAGATATAATTTCAAGACAATCCGAAAACACCACATGGCTAAATTATGTGGTTATTCAACATCAAGCTCGCTCTTATCACATTTTGCTTTGGGAACAATTGTAGGAAGAACATTGCTGCAACTTTCATAAAATACCTATTTCTGACATTATCATTAGGTCCCGGTACATGTGACAATCAGAGATGGGTGTGAGAAGGAAAAGTGTGTCTCTACTGGGCATCTGGTCCACTGTGTTTCACCAGCTGTCCACGTGACTGGACCGGGAGCCTCGTTATTAACCGTGATTACACTCATCAGCCCCACAGTATCCACGCTGGCTTTAGCTTTGAGGAGCTGCTCAGGTGAAGAGCATTTTGGAGCTTCAGCCCGTGTGACTTTCATTTGAGACTTCTGTTTGAAGTCACTGTTGGTTTTTGTCTGTCTGCAGTGGTTGTGCAGTTATCTCTGTTTCAGCTGCTCTGCAGAGCGACTGCCTCCCTCTCACACAGGCCCCCACAGCAAATGGCTCAGATGCCACACAGCCTGTATTCTAAATCTGACCATCCCAGACACACCCTGAGGTTCCCCGGGGACCCAGTCCTCTAGTCCTAGACTCCTTGCCTTTACTCTGAGGACATCCTAAAGAGAATGTCACCCTGTGCCATGCCGGGGGGGGGGGGGGGGCTGAATCACCACCGGGGGAGGGTGGGGAGGGAGCACAAGCTCCCCGGGTGACTGTGATGCGCACCTCCCACTAAACGTCACTTGTAATGGTTCTATTGTACCTTTCTTTCCCTTAAACTGTAACCCACCTGAGATTCTCAGACAAGAACTAAACACATTGACATTTTAACGTCAATGTGGTTAAAGTATTATGGAATACATTTGTTGTCTTGTGATAACTTTTTCTATTACTCAGAAAATGCATCCCTGCTTCTGATGACATTTTCATTGGAAAGGGCAAGGTGGAGGTGGTGGGGTGGGTGGAATTTTATAAGTGACTGATGAAGTTTTCTTGCACTGCCAGTCCCAAGAGTTTGTTTTATTACTGTTTGAGATTCTGTGTCCTGTGTGTGGAGGTTTACCTGGAGCTTCTTGAATGTGGTGATAAGGAAGCAGTGCATCCCTCGCTTCCTGAATACACTTTCTGCACAGCTTGTCTCTTGAAGCTCCGAGTCTAATGGGGGGGGGGGCAGGTATTAAATACACATCTTCAGCTGCAAGTGTGAGATGCTAGTGAGCTCTACTGAGGAAACCAGGGAGGGCTTCCCTGAGGAGGTGTTGCTTATGCTGAGCACGGAGGGTGAACAGGAGTTGATCAGATCAAGGCAGTGGGGCGGGGGGGGAGGTCGGTTTGCAGTCAGAAGGAATTGCATATGCAAAGGCCCAGCTCATCAGAGAAAGTTTCCAGAAAATCCATAAAAAGAACATTTACTTGCTCGTAAGCCCTCCCTTCTTCTCTCTTTGTGCTGCCACCCACCCCAGCAGACTTATGTTGTCTTTATTCCCTAAGTCAATTAGGGTTGGGGAAGTGCTTCATATATTCTTCAGAGAGGCTTAGACTCCGCCACCTACAGGGTGTGACCATGTGCGACCGTGTGCCTGGTTGCACACCTTTCCAGTTTTTTAGCCTGCCTCTCTGCCACTGAGTTCACCAAAACCAGTTCCCTTGCTGTTCTCTAATACCATAGTTGTTTTGTTTTGTTTTGTTTTGTTTTGTTGAGACAGAGTTTTTTGAGACTATGTTGCCCTTGGTAGAGTACCATAGCGTCACAGCTCACAGCAACCTCAAACTCCTGGGCTTAAGCAATTCTCTTGCCTCAGCCTCCCAAGTAGCTGGGACTACAGGCACCCGCC